AATCCAACCTGTTTATACAACCAGACCGTAAGATTGACACTAGAAGTTTATACAGCCTCTACATTTTTCTAGTCCTCTGCATCAAACTAGTTTTTTTTTTCTGCCTGCTGTTATATAATCATCGTCATTGTATTGCTGCTCACATGCACATAAGTGCAGTAGCCAATGTTCATATGAATTTGTTAATGCTGTAGTAACTACTGTCATGAAAGTGAAATACCTAAAGGAGAGATCCTAGAAGAAAACAAGAGCCCAATTGAAGAGCGAAGAACAAAATATAGCGTGATAGTGTGTTGATGCAGGGCCAGCTAAAACAGAAATTTCTAATACTACTATAGTCACCATTGTGCCAGAACCAAGAATTATAACTGAACCAGCTGATACCAAAACTTTTGAAATCCTCAAAAGCGTTGGATATGGGGGTTTAACTGAAGCAATTACAAGCTTAGGTATCGTGACATCTGCAGCTAGTGCTGATACTGCAACATGTAAGTGGTTTCTATTTTAGTTGATTTTTAGACTGCCTGAGATTCTTTATATTTTATATTTTATTATGTTTTTCATAAGGGTAGTTGAAAATTGAAGATTTATTTTTTTGACTTGAATTGAATATCATGTTTAGCTTTATCTTTGTTTGGCAGAGTAGATCATAGTAAATTCTTCGTATTGTAGCTATTAGTATTGCTGGGTTTCATCTTTTCAATCTATAGATGGGGCTGATAAGTACTAGAAATGGTATTACTCTGCAATTTATAGACTCGAAGATGAAACTAATTAACCCAATCTTGACTTGCATCTAAACATGATATTCAAGGCAAGGTGCTTTTATATCCAGCAGAGACCAATTGCATCAAGGAGGGACAAATCCAGTTTCCATTTGCTCTAGTTACAATTTCAGATCGAGCCCTGAATGCATCAAACAGAAATCAGTCACAACAGACACAGTAGTGGACATTGATAAATCTTGGCTCCATCTCTAACTAGCAACACACAAACTTGTGGTAGTCAACATTTCCTTCATCAAAATTTTACTGCCAGTTTTATCTTTGTTACGCTAGATATATTCACGAGAGCTATTGCTCTATAACTAGGAAGATGGCTGCAATAGTGTACAAGAAGAGGAAAGGGGCTCGTGCACAACTGAATTTGAACAAACTGAGATAGGAATTCCCTCCAAGTGCAACATGATGCTCCCCAGGATTTCAGTCAATATCTTCTTGAACTCGTCTTCTTTGAGCAGCTTTCCATCATCTTCATTCATCAAGTTGAACGCATCCCGCACAACCTTGTCCATCTGTAAGTCATGGGACATGTTGCATTAGTCACTCACTTGGACAGGCATAAGTTACTAATATTTGCTGAATAGGTTGTTTGAGTTCATAATAACAGAGGTAATTAACAAAGCACCTGCTCAACTACACCAAGTGATGCCAGACCAGCCGTTGGAGCCACCACATCCAGCGCCACACGCAAATATTCCTTGGACAGTTTCCCACTGTGGTCTTTTGGCTCGTTTTCAACAGCTGCATTCAGCGACTGCATTTCACAATAGATTGAAATATAAGGGAATTCAATATGTATGGCACTCTAAGCAGAAAATAAAAATGCATACTAAAAAAGTATGAATTCACACATGATTAAGTACGCAAATGGCCAATGACAAAAAGAGAAGGCATCTTTATGAGACAGACCTTGTCTAATTCAAACTTGTTGGACAACAGTCTCTTAATGCCACTTCCATCAAAGTAAGTTTCACTGTGGGCTACATTCACAGGCTGTTCCTTAAGACGTTGAGCCACAGACTCTGCCACTTTCTTAAACTCCTCTATGAAATTTCCTTGAGATACAGGCTCGTCCAAATCATGGCCAGTGCATGATTCAAGAGCAGGTTCCACGATATTGCTAATAACCTAAAACACGAAAATAACCATCAAAGAGGGAAACACATAATAAGCACTCCAGAATGAAGATTCCAATGCAACTCTTCTAGGTTCTACAACCTACAATAATGTGGCGCGGACATGTAAATTTATAGGATGATATGATGTCGCTGACACTTTGGCTCCTTTGCAGCATGTTCGTTTATAAATTCAGTAGCAAAATTTAACGTAATTTTTATTCCCTATATCCAATTATAGAATTGTTAGTAAATGTTAGTTGGAGAAGATCAGCTACCCAAGAGTCTGATGAAGGGGGCATCCCTTGCTCAACCGTGAGTTTTTCCAAAGCTTTGGCTATATAGTCACGGAGGGTTCCACTTCCATCAGCTGACTTTATCTCAGAATACGTGGCTACCATCTCTGGTTCAAAAATTGGCCCATTGATGAATTTGTCGAGATCTTCTCCATCAATACGGAGGATCACAATAGGGTCTCTCTTCAAACCAGCGGCCATGCCTAATA